GTATACAGAGCCATGTATAAAAGAAAGCTAGCTTCCATCATGTAATGAGACTAGATTTGAGTGTACAGTAATTATATTACAAAGACTACATAGACTGCTATTTTAAAATATTTCAAAAGATAACTTGATGCTATAACTATTGATTTCACTCTGTCCAGAGGAAAAAAAGTTATAAAAATTGATGATATATAGAAACAATTAACCCAAGGGACTATTGGATCGCGTAAACATTAGTTTCCACAAACCTGAGACCATCAAAATTAGATAGTGCCCAGCTACCTATAGCAACTGCTCTGAAAAGGATCACATTAGAAGGTCCTGGATAGAGTGGGAGAGAAATGTGGAACAGAACTTAAAAAAAAAAAAGACCAGGCATATTAGTTAGACATAACCTGGTAGGGCACACCCCCAGCCCCACCCCAAGACTACAGCCCTTACCCTCAGACCTGGATCTGAACTCACCTCTTGTGTCAGTCCAGGTTGACTAGAGAAACAAATCCAGAGACACTCATATGTGTGTAAGAGATAGCTTTATATCAAAGAACAATTGTATATGGAGAAAACATCCCAGCCCAGTCCAGGTCAAGTCCATAAGTCTGTATTAGCCCATATGTCCAATATGAGTCCATAAATTCATCATCAAACTCACGTAGCCACTAGCAATGATGACGAATGCAGGAAGATCACAGGCTGGTGGGTGAAAAGTCTTGTGGATCCAGTGGTGGAAGCATCTCAGCACTGGCGCGGGTCTCCATGTGCCTCCTCCAGTTCTCCAAGTGTGGCTCCTCAATGCAGCTTCACATGGCTTGTCAACAGGAGAGTAAAGGCAGAGAGAGAAAGTGGCCTGCCTCTTCTCACAGCAGAATCAAGAGAGAGGAAGTAAGACCCAGAACAAAAATCATATCCAAAGTGAATGGGGGTGGGGGGAAGGGAGTGGAGACCCAAGGCCAATCTGTAGACAATTGGACGTCCCCTCAAAGAAGGGTCACAGGGAAGAGATGAACCAGTCAGGGTGCAGTATAGCACTGATAAAACTTTCCTCTAGTTCTTTGGTGCTTCCTTCCCCCACTATCATGACCTCAATTCTACCTTACAAATCAGATTAGACCAGAGCATGCACACTGCTACAGATAAGAGCCCGAAACACAGGGAATCCAGGATAGATAAACCCCTCAGGGCTAACTATGAGCATAGAGATACTAGGAGGATTAGGGGAGGGTGAGGGGATGGGGATGGAATAGATCACAAGAACCAATCTAGAATCCCCTCCCCGGGGGAAGAAAAACAGAAAAGTGGGTGAGGGGTGACGGAGGAGGATATGATATGAAAATAATAATCTATAACTTATCAAGGGTTCATGAGGGAGGGGGAAGAAATGGGAAGCTGATATCAGGGGCTCAAGTGGGAAGAGAATGCTTTGAAATTGATGATGGCGGCATATGTGCAAATATGCTTGATACACTGGATGAATGTATGGATTGGGATAAGAGATGTAAAAGCCCCCAATAAAAGTATTAAAAGAGAGAGAGAGGACGTTCCCAGAATCCTCATGAAAAGGCCACGTCCACAGGAGGCATCATCACCCTGTGACCTGATTGACAGAAAGGCTAGACTCTACCCCTATACTTATTTATCAAGTTGACATGAAATTATGTAACTACCACACCTCTGATCAAGGGTAACCAAACACTTAAGATCAACAGGGCTGCATTTACCCAAGGACGAGATTCAGAGGGGGTAGGAAAGGAGGAATGGAAACAGGAAACAGAGTAAGTGATCATATATAGACGGGATTGCAGTGGATGAGTTGAATCTGAATGTGTATGGATTATTGAATGTAAAACTGATACTCTGCTCTGTAAACTTTCACCTAATTTACAAGAAAAAGTTTTTTTTTTTAATGGTAAGACATCAAAACCCAGAGCCTTGTGAAGGGCTACCATTGGTGTCTCCCCAACTGGTGCAAAGATTAAAGAAAGTTAAAGATGTTAAAAAAAATTAGTCCAAAGCACCGATGGACCACATGGATCCCAGTCCCCACACCTCTGAAACCAGAACTACATGGTGCCTAGTTGCCACTGTTGACTGCCCTAAAAGGGATTCCAATAGGAGGGTCTGGATAGAGAGAAAATGTGGACTAAAACTCATAGTCCCCCAAAGACCAGGCTTACTGATCTGATAGACTGGCAGAACCCCCAAGACTATGGGCCTTATGCGCCCTTCAGACCTGTCATTGAACTCACCTGACCCCCATGGTTCAATGTTTAGCAAATTATAGTTAGATCTCTAAGGTGAAAAACATCAAAGGGGTACATACTCCTGAGCGCAATCACCCATTCCCAGTGAAAAGGTAACATTTGCTCAAGGACAAAGCTCAGGGGACATAATGAATGGAAGTGGTAGACACCAGGTGAGAAGAACGTTGTTACACCGTGGGGAGTGCAATCAATCTCATGAATCCAAATTTGGATGAATTGAGTGGAAAGCCAACTTGCTGTGTTAACTTTCACTCAACTCACAATAAAAAGTTAAATAGTAATAATTTTATGCTGCTGTAGTACTGTTTTGAGCTTGATTAAAAATATAATCATAAAAGGGACAGAAAAAAAACGAGCCTTTACCTAGTACCAGTGGTGTGGTGTGGTGTGGTGGCCATGCTCCGTAGATCCTTGGGTTCCCAGGAAGAAAAAGCATGGGCCCACACGGGAGACGAGGGTCCCACACTCTCTCACTAGGTGGCTCCCTTCCCCAAGAGCAGGCGGTGCTTTGACTCTGGACAGGGCATTGTAAGGCTGCTGTCACCGCCCTTCACACTGCACCACACTAGACACTGGCAGCCCAGGGACAGAGTGCAGTTTCTACTTCGTTAATGAAATTCTTTCCTTGAAGTTTATTTCATAGTAGGTTGTATTTTCATTTCCTCATTTAGATATGATGTTCCAAGTAAACATCGACTACGTTTTCAGGTGGGTGAGTTTCCAGGTTAGGTTCTTTAAAAAGCTGCTTTAGCTAGCATGAAAGTGCAAACCCGAGCATCTGTCCATGCTTTAGCACTCTGTCCATGAAAATCTTGATTTTTATCTATCTACTGAGAATTATTTTCCTGGAGGATGGTCTATCGTAAACACACCTTAAAGTATTTTGGGAATTACTGCCTTTAAAGGACTCCATAGTACTCTTTTTACAAAACATACCTTGTAAAATGTCAATCAATTCCTTCAATCATGAAACTTATTTTTTCCAACTACTTCTCATGTACTCTTTAATATTCACCTCGTTCTTTATTTCTGCCACAAACCTGACGCAAACTATAATGTGTTATATGCTTGAAAATCCTTTTCCTAGACCTTTCATTGCAACTTAACTCTTCTAGGATCTCCCAGATACTATCACTCAATGCTTTTCTAACTCGAGGGACGCGATTAGTACTAATCCTTGACCGGTGAGATGAGGGGGAAGGATTCAAAGAGAGGAGGAGCTCGCAAGTCCGCCTGCCCGGTCCATCAGGACCCCCACTGGGGGGTGCTTCTAAGAAGTGAGGCCCATTGCCAGCTTGTCACCTTACCCCCCAGTTCTACATGCTTGCTTGAAAGCAACTCGTGGGCCGTCTTGGACGGGTTCCTACCCCATTCAGGCCTCTCACAGAAGGAGGGGGCTCAGAAGGCGGCGGGAGGTCGTCGCCCGGGTGGGGGTACAGAAGATTGCGGAGGGAGGTCGGTCGATTGCTTCCGTGGGCAGGATAGGGATTCGCACTGCTGTCGTGTGCCGTTCTCCTCCCTCAGGGACCCCGTCCTAGCGGGATCCCGCCTCCTAGAGCCCGAGGCAGTTGTGGGGAAACCCCTCGCCCATTCTCGCTGCCTCACTCCGCCGCCTCGCTCTCCGCTCCAGCCTGCCATCCTTCAAGGCCTGCATCTTCGAGGGGCAGGGCCCTCTCCACGCCCGGAGCTGAGGAACTATGGAGGTGGTCGGTCCGCGGACGGGCGGGCAAGCGCACGGTGAAGGCCTCGGGTATCTCTCCCCCCACCCCCCACCCCTCCATGGCTGCGGGAAAGAAGGGAGGAGGAAACGGACTTCCCTGTCTGGGAGAACTATCCGGATTCCCCCGACCTGGGGACGGCCTCTGAGACAGAGGAGAAAGCTAGGGGAAACCCTGGGCGGCTTCCCGGGAACCCCTTCGTCCACGGGAGGGTCACCCTCTCAGCACATACAGGTTACTATGACAATATAACCATAGCCTCCAGTTGCCATGGCAGCTGTTTATCCAATCCGGTAGCTTTGCTTTCTCGTGCCTCCTCCCCTCCACCCCTGCGTCCACCCCGGCGCCTCTAACAGTCTCCCCGAGTGCAGGGGGAGGGGCTGCACCGAAGCGGAAGGGGGTCCTCACGTCACTCTTTAGCGCGTGAGGGAAGAAAAGAGACCAGGGGCTGGCAGGCGGAACCGTAGGAGGAAGAGGTGGCGTTTCCGGTGGGGAGAAGTGGGGGAGTGGAAAAAGGAAGAGAAAAATTGGGCGCGGTGGAAAGACGGGGGAAGACTTTGAGTGTAACTCCTAGCTACTTTGGGCTCGATGTACCCGGTGAGGCTGGGGTTGGCCCCTCGCGCGGGAGGAAAGGGCTGGATTAGCCGTCAGCAGCCAAGCGCCACCCGCTGGCCGCTCCGCCGCAGCCGCACCAACGAGACCCAGCCCGCAGCTCCCAAGAGGGAGCGCCACAGAGAGGCGGAAGCCGCACGGTCCCGCTGACTTCTCGCGAGAGGGAGCCCTACTTCCTCCCTCCGCTTCTCCCTCGTTCCCCCGCCCTTCCCCTTCGCCCTTCCCCTCCCCCCTCCCGGGTCGGAGTGTCCCTGCGCCCCACGGGCGGGAGCAGCAGCGAGAGCAGCTTTCCCCGCTCCCTCCCCTCCGCTTACCCCCACCCCCCCGCCGAGCGAGGAGGAGCCCGAGGAGAGGAAGATGGCGGCGGCCGCCTGCATCCGCGGTGCCGCGGGGCCGCTCCGAGGAGCCTGAGAGACCCACGGACGCTTCGCGGGAGGACGCGGCGGCGGAGGATGAGCCTGCAGAGCGCTCAGTACCTCCGGTGAGTGCCCAGGCCGGCCCCGAAGTCCCGGGAGCCGGCCGTAGCTTGGGGTTTAGAGCAACAGACACAGAGGTGGTAGGTCCGCGCTGGCGGGGGAGTTCCTGCTTCCTCGCCTTCCCCTGCCGGGAGGCGGGGGCTGCGGGGGGCTCCGCGGGAGGGGGCGGAGTGGGGACGCCCTCCCGGACCGCAGCTCGGCCCCCGCGGGCTGGCCGAGCTCCAGCGGAGCCGGCTCGGCGCGGTGCGGGGCGACCGGTCGCGGAAGCGTGAGAGTGTGCGCCCTGGCTCGCTGGGGAGGGGCGGGGGGAGGCGCCTGGAGGCGGCAGCGACCCCGAGTCGAGAGGCAGGTAGGCAGGTGTGGAGCAGGAGGCTGATCCCGGCGGCGGTGGGGAGCGGAGTGTGATGTGGGATTGGCTGGAGCGGTGTAGGAGGCGAGGACCGGCTGGAAGTCTGCACACCTGGGGCGGGCGGGGCGGGGGCAGGGAGAACGGGAGGTCTTTGGAAACTGGGACTTGTTCTCGTTGGATGGTCGGGAATAGTGTGAGCTCGGGTTTATCGGTGGGGTGGGTGAAGAGGGGTGGGGGAGAGAGGAAAGGTAATGTGGACTAGATTGGGTTCCTCAGAAGACACTGGGTTGGAATCAGTATAGTCTGTAGATACATTCTGAGAACCGTGTGTCTTAAGAGTGGTGTAAGGAACTGGTATTCCCCAGGTAGAGTGACACATGGGTATAGAGTATGTATGTCTGGGATAGGAAGAGGGTGGCAACTGTACACATTTCAGGAAAGAAAAGATTCAGAGACGTTGGCACTTCGAACATGATGGCGAGAGCTTAATGCATGGAAACGCTTCAGCAGTTGGGCAGCCAGAAAGCTTCACGCAAGCAAACTAAAGGTCTTGGTGGTAGAGGAAAACGGGGTCAAACATCCTGATGGCAGAGAAATAGAAGGTTGCTGAAGCCTGATAGTAATTTAGGAGCTGCTGCTGCTTAGTTAGAAAGGAGGAAGGAAGATCTTAAAACTGAAGCAAGAAAGGCAGGCCCTGTGGGGAGACTTAAAAAGTGGTTGCATACCTTGTAGAAGAGAGAATTCAGTGGGAGCAGAAATATCACTTTAGCTGCTGTTATTGGGGACTGTGGAGTGTATTCCAATTCTTAGCAAGCCCGTGTGACCGTCGAACTGCCCCCTAGGGGGAGGGGGCTTTCTTGGCTGTAGTCTTTAAGGAGCAGATCAGCTAGCCATTCTGTTTAGTGAAGTGAAAGTCGTCATGTGTGTGGGAACCCTATGTGTACATTGGAAGTTTCATAATGTGATAAGGAAGGTTGACTATTCTACTTTTGAGGGTATCACTGAGCTAAAAAAAAATCATCACTGCCCTGAGTTCATTCTGACTCATAGTGACCCTATAGGACAGAGTAGAACTGCCCCTGTGGGTTTCCTTTTATGGGAGTAGAGAGCTTGGTCTTTCAGAAAGGCTGGCTGTGCTGAACAGCAGACCTTGTGGTTAGCAGCCCAATGTATAGCCATTACACCACCAGTTCTCCTATAAACCCAAAAAACTTATTATCAGAGTCCATGCTGACTTATAGCCCTGTGCGTTTCCAAGATTGTAACTATTTACTGGAGTAGAAAGCCCCGTCTTCCTCCTATGGAGCTACTGCTGGTTTTGAACTACTGACCATGTGGATTGAAGCCCAGTATGTAAACTCTACACTGCCAGGGCTTCTATGTAGAGGAGGAAATGATAAGGTCTTAGGACTGGTTGAATAGAAGAACAACACAGAGACAAGATGCACATAACATGTGTGCCCAGTGACCATAGTCCTTTTGGAATATTATCTGTCTATTGGAGATCTTTTTTCGGCCTATGTTATTCCTTTAATATTTATCATGTGGCTGAACTTAGTAAATAGAGCTGTGGCAAGTGCTGTAGGGGAATATGAAAACCACTAGGACAATCTCTAGTGAATTTACAATTAATCTCTTACTAAGCAAGTAAATAAAATACACCACCAAGTATGCTAAGTATTTTAAGAGTGCAAAGGCAGGGGATTGCTTGAGCAGTAGAGGGGAGGGGGGGAGAGTGTCAAGAAAGGCTTCCTTTGTTCATTTACCCATCCATGCACTCATGATTCATCAGATGTTTTGTTGATCACCTGCTCCATGGAAAGCATTGTACCAACTGCTGAGAATAGAAAAGAACCCCATCTTACTCTTAACAGAGTTCATAGTTTGTTAAGTTTCAAGGAGAAAAATGGCATTTTAAAAACGGACTTTGAAGAGTAGACAATATTCTGGACGGTGCAGATTGAAAAGAAGGGATTCCAGATAGAAGGAACGTTTAAGCAGAGATATGTAGTTAGATGAGGAAGGGGGTGTTAAGGAAATAAATGAATCCAGTTGGACAAGATTCACGGTTCTTTGGATTAACATATTTAGCCCCTCCTTTTTTAGATTTGGGAACTAAGGCCCACAAAGATTTGAAAATTATGAGGACCATGTAGCTGATATGTGGGAGCTCTGTAACTCAAACAGGTCTTTTAACTCCAAAGTAGCTAGGCTGTGCTGCTGGCTGGGTTCCTCTGACCTTGCAGTAAATGTTATCTTTTAGGTACTATGGATACAATAGTGAACAAACGCGACAAAGTCCCTACTTTCATTGGCGTATATTCTAGTAGAAGGAGGCTGTCAGTAAACATATGGACAGAAATACATATATTAGGTGGTGTCAAGTACTAGGAAGAAAAATAAAATGCAATCAGGATTTTCTTTTTAATATCGACAGGGTAGTCAGGAGAAGCATATTTGATATGGTAACCATATTGAGAAGGTTTTGAGTTAAAATGGATGGATAGTGGGGAATCCAAGATGATTTGTTTAGAATTGCTATGTAGTAGGAAACTTAATCAGTAGCAGTGGAAGTAAAGGCTAGAAATACAGTGGTAGTATTCTAGAAGGGTATAATGAAAAGCAGATTGAAGGAGTGGTTATACTTTTAATGAGAAAGTCAATTGGATTTGAGATGTGCTGGTGTTAATATAGGAGTCCTGCTGGTTAAGTATTTGGATTGCTAACCACAAGGTCGATGGTTCAAACCCACCAGCCACTTGGGGAGAAAGATGAAGTTTATCTGTTCTTGTAAATGATTCCAGCCTTAGAAAACCTATATAGGGTCAATATGAGTTAGAAATTGACTTGATGCCAGTGAGCTTTTGAGAGGGAGGTATTAATATGCCTTATATTTTATAAATATTTTATAAATTTTATAAATTCACATAGCAGTTTAGAATCAGTTACAGACAACTTGAGATGAGTTTAATTCTTTCAAGAAGGACAAAAGAATGAGTACAATGTTTAAATAACATTCCAGCTTTAGTTAAAACAGGTAAACTGGAAGAGGTGGGTTGTTTACTGCTCTATGCCTCCATTCATCTCCAGTTCTTAGCTACTCTATTAGATTAGCGCTGGCCCAAAGGGTTTTCCTGGGCTGCAATCTTCTGCTGGGAGAAGCCCTTGTGTGTTATGTGCTTGGCAGTTAACCAAAGGTCAACAGTTCAAACCCACCGGCTGTTCTATGTATGGATTTGCAGGCTCAGAAACCATAATGAGCCAATCTACTCTGCCCTTTAGGATCACTGTGAGTAGGAATTGACTCAGTAGTAGGTTTGGTTTGTAGTCTACGGGAGCAGATTCCCAGGTCTTTTCTCCTTCAGCAGCTAATGTTAGGTGCCAGCTTCTAGGCTAGCTGCTGAAAGATGACCCATTGCCCTGACACACGCACTTGGAGTCTCTTAAGGGTGTTTAGTCTTTTAAAAGTGTTTGGAGCCATTCTTTCCCTCAGTCTTATCTGTCTTAGGTGGTTCTTAAAGCTGCTTGTAGTTTGAGACTTCAATGGGGAGTGGTGTGAAGATGTTCTCCCCAGCCTGCATTTCCTTCCTCTTCCTTCAGGTAATCATTTCATATTTAAAGTCGGCTGTGGTGAGACTAGAGAATGCAGGTCTTCAGGGAAATATTAGGTTCACTTTTCTTTGATGAAAATGGAATGGAAGGATGTGAATATTGTTGAATGAATGCGCTTGGGATTCTAGGTGTTATTCTTAGTGATCTTGATTGTACGAAGAATTTTTGTTGCCTCCCTATGTAGGTGGTATGGGCCTATGACTGGGCAGTTTCAAACTGCATAACAACAGATCTTCTCTCAAGAAAATGAAAATGAGTTTTGTCTCAGTTAAATTTTAATTTCATAGCGCAAACAAACTGCTATCTTGCTATGGAAGTGGTAGGATTGTAGGCATCTAGGAAGGAAGATGGTGGCTTCAACAGTAAGAAATAAGGAAGAGGTATCAGAGACTTAAATAAGATAAAGAATTAAATATAAAGAGGACTAAATTAATCTTGTAGAACTAGAACAAAGAGAAGAACAAACAGATCGTAGGTGCTAGTGTTGGTAAGAAAGAATGATAAAAATTTTTGTTAAAAAGAAAGTTTTTTTGTAGTAGGAGACAAGCTTCTTCTCCAAATGAATAAATTAAGAATTGTTCTTTAGTGAGAGAATAAAGACACTATTTTTACACGATATAAGAAAAAGAAATGACTTTAGATGTGAGAATTTTTTACTCAAATTGAAGAAAATTCAAAGTATTTTCTCTTGATTTTGACAAAATAGAAAGATTTTTTCAAAGACTTTGAGACTTCTGTTGAGTAAAAGATAGGTGCATATTGAATAGGTCATTTAGTGTGTAGAAGGGTGAGGAGAGGCCATGGATAAGAAAATAGGTGAGGGATAATATTTTTTGTTTATCATTTTATTAGGGGCTCATACAACTCTTATCACAATCCATACATACATCAACTGTGTAAAGCACATTTGTACATTCATTGCCCTCATCATTCTCAAAACATTTTCTCTCCACTTAAACCCCCAGCATTAGGTCCTCATTTTCCCCTCCCTCCCTGCTCTCCCCTCCTTCATGAGCCCTTGATAATTTATAAATTATTATTTTG